ACTTACTTACTACAGGACTTTAACTCAGTGTCATAACAGAGTAAGATACAAAGTGCTGAGGTTATAGGACCAACAGTTGCTGTGAGCTTTTAACATCACCTCACCACATCTGGAAAAATAGTTGAAATAGTAAGCCTAGTCTCCTAGCATCTCCTGCTCTCCGATGTCAGTCAGCTGCTTCCGTGGAAAATGTCCATCCAGAGGCCTGAAACCTGCTGTATGTCCAAAAAAAGGTTTGATCTATTTTTTTTTTTTTTTTTGAAAAATGGAAGAATGTGCACAATAGCTGCAATATTATCATAGCTTTTTATTTTCATACTGACATGGAGTGAGGAGAATTGAAATTTAAATTTAAATTTTTTGTTAGTAAGTTATAAGGGGAATTATATAAGGAGATGGATTCCTGGCTTGACAGATCAGATTAATGTGACAATATAATCCATTAAAGAGAGTTTCTTTTTGGGCTTCTTCACCTATTGTCTGAACTTTCTATTACATGTCTGATGTCAGCTGGGCTATATAAGTGTTAGTCATGTCAGGGAACAATTTATCTAATCTGACTCACCTGCCAGTAGGTTTAGAAAAAATCCACAGTTCATGGTTGAAGTGATGGGTATCCATACATACATACATACATACATACATACATACATACATACATACATTACTTAAGTAAATAAAAATAGATGAGATGTACATGCTGTAGATGACATTCTTCTACCCACTGATATATATACGCATTTCTTTTTTTTGGTTTTTACACAATCTCTCAATCAGTCACCCTTGTGAATCTGAAGTATTTTATTTTGCTTTTTAACAACTGCTGAGACACATCACAGTACATCATATGCACATAGATGGTATACAGCCACTACAGTACATTCACTCATTCCAGGAAATTAAACCTGTTGTTATAGAAGAGCAGGAGGAGTTAACAGATCAGCCCAACAGCTATAATTAGAATAAGTTATCTCTAAAATCAAACTTCTGCTGCATTTGTAAAAAAATTTTCAAATGTCAAAGCCTTATTATCATGTGATTTCAGAACACTATCAGTACAAATATTACTATGGGCACTATGAACATAGTCTCTATCTATGTAATGGCAACAGTATAGCACATTGAGCACACAGTCCAGCCATATCGGTTTTGACTTAGTCTTGTTTTCCTTTTCAGATTTAGTCCTCAGCCCCAACCGATGTAGGCTGACATCTCTTGAGGCAGTATATCAGATTTATTAGCTCCCACTCTGGAGACAGTACTCCAAAGGCATGCAAATAGAGTTTGATAAGTAAAATCGGTGAAGTTTTCCAAAACTAATGATAGGTGCGTTTCATTTAGGTGATCCAGGGTCAGGGCTCTGATATTTTTCATGCTGTCCCCCTGGCATCACTTATAGGAAGACTTATGTGTAGCACAGCAATTGTTCATGTTATTACATGTGCTTTTCTTGCTAGGATACCTGAAATAATGTGACATGAAAAGAGAGAGAAAATTGTTGTGTTTTTTATTCTGTGAATAAGTAAGAATTTCTTTCTTTAAAGAATTCTGCAATTCATAATTTACCACTACTTGTGGAACCCAGATGTCCCTCTAATGGGTTCATTTTATGACATTTGATGTGAAAGAAGTTTTATGACCCCCAAGGTTTAAATGCCCCCGTAGAAAATAGTATTTGAGACAAGTAAAGTCTCTTACATGAATGCAAGTACAGGCTGAAAATTAAAAACAAAACTTTTAAGGAAGCATAGGAAAATGCTGAGTCATTCAGGTGAATCAACACTGGCCGTATTTAGACCAGTATCAATCGACACTGCAAACTATCAAACACCTTATCAATAGTCAAGTTTGCTTTCATCGTTACACCAACTTTTCAGCCTCAGCCAGGCACAAAAACTTTTTAGTGATATTTCAAGATTATTTACAGCATTTGAAATTGAAAATGTGCAGAAAAACAGGTGGATGGAAACACACTTAATGTCATTCTTATTCGAAAACAGCCACACAGGATTGTATGTATACAACTAGTAATGTCATAGGCTGGAATCTGGTCTTGACCTTTGTCATAGCCCCCCACCTGTCCGTCTCTGTTCTCTCGCTCTCTTGTTTCTTCTCTCTCTCTCTCTCTCTGTCTCTCTCTCTCTGTCTCTCTCTCTCTCACATACTTCTAGAGAATTACCTTCCCAAAACATCTAAAAAAAATAGATTAAAAAAACTTAGCAGGATTTAACTTGTACAACTGGTAGACTACACCCTGAACACATTTAAACAAGCAAACATATGAGTTACAATGAGTTCAAAGACTATAAATATTGTTAATCTTAAAATCTAAAACTGACACTCACCTTTTAACAATGATAGGTGAGCATTACATAAATATTTTGGTAATCTTTGGTACACTTAGAAGCAAGAACAAATCTAAAACAAAAGAGCCACCTTACTCTGTGCACAAAACCAGTTCTACTGCTATAATTACACCTCTTATGAACATTAAGTAAAATATGTTCATTGAAAAGTAATGGATGCTATATGTAGGAGACGATACATTAAGTATAGAGCACTTCAGTGTGTGTAAAAGTTTTCAAAAGTCTTTGACGATTGAATGCACACACAAACACCTAGACCCTTGTTACTGTTATAAAATGCTGTTGCAAGCTGTTAAATATTCTGATAAATTTTCAGAAATATCATTGCAATTATATGTTGTAATATTGTCCATATAAGCCGATTCTATACTTAAAATAATCCCATACAATTCTAGGCATATAATCTTTAGTTCAAAGAATGCATTTCCACGTTGTATGAAAACAACACTGGTCATTGGTATTGCAGCAAGAAACGATGTGAATCTTTTGTAATCAGCCAGCGAATAAAAGTAGTAATTCTGAACTCACTGATGAACTCAAAAACTTGGACACATATTAAAAAATGCTTTCTGTTGCATTACTGTATCAATTTCTATCTCAGTCATAATGATACAGCTGTATTGTGGCTAAAACACTGAGCTATGAATTTACGAAGAGAATGAATTTACCTGTCTAATTCCCTGGTATGCCTATATATTTTATTATTGACATATGTTTGTTGATATACCCTTGCAAACCTTTTGGAAAATAAAATAAAAACTTGGTCACAAGTTCTACCATTATTGTGAATATTTGTCAATCCTAGTGCTGTGTTTAAAATGAAATCTAATAGTAGAAATTCTGATTCGGTTAAATTGAGTATCCACTGTTGGTTTTGTCTGGGTTTGAGCCCACGTAGTAGAGGGGAACAAAGATGGTGATAAGAAATCAAAAAGAGCTGGTTGACAGGGAGGAGTTCGATTTAGAGGCACTGGGAAACAAGTGCAGTAGTAGTGCAGGCATACGAAGTATATCGGACATTTGACAACAAATAGCTATTGTTCTTCCTCTAAAGTAGCTCTTGCCATTCTCACTGTTATAAAAAGATACTGGTATGCATCCAGTTCAGCAACAATCCATCCAAACCAGTTTCTTTTGGTTGGCAGGACCAATTAAAGTGTTTGTTGAGAACAAATGCTATCTTTTCCATAAACACTATTTACTTTTTTATCGCACCTTTCTATATGATATAAAAAAGACAGAATATGAAAGAAACACAAGACAACTAAATATAAATAGGATTAAAATATAAGAGTTGAAACAGACAGAAACTGAACATTATTTATTCAATAATCCTAGATGAGTGTCCACACTCATGGGAGGTTTGTACAGATTGTATTTTTTTTGGCTAACTGTCAGTCATTCTTCTTTGGCATGTATTTCTGTTGTATCTTTACTGGAAAGTAAACTATCACCTTGGCAATGTTATGGTCTGTAATGCAGGAGAACGAGTTATTAGGGTGGCAGTATCTCAGTGTGGAGGGACTTGGCTACACACTAAGTGTTGCTGGTTCAAGTCCCACAGACCACAGAATGGAGTGGCTGGTAGCTGGAGAGGTGCCAGTTTCACTGCCTAGTGGCCCTTGAGAAAGGCAGCCTCTCTCTCCCTGTTTGCATGTCCACGAGCCCTGCATGAGCGTGCATTTCAGCCAGTGTGTGTATCAAATAAAAAAAGAGGGAAAAAAATAATTTTTCCAGTAGGGGACTAATAAAGTAAATCTTAAATCCTAAAACATAAGGAAATGAATAGACTTTATGAGAAATATTCAAAACCCAGAAAAACAAGAGTGATCACTTGGCCACAGTGACATGACATCTAGACTGTCTGACATAATGAAATACTGGTAGGCCTAGGCATATGGGCCTAGGCAAATAACTTTCTACATTTTACCAACCACACTGTAGAAGAAGAAGAAGAAGAAGATATATTTTATTGATCCCCTAGGGGAAATTGTTCTTTTTCACTCTTTTTTTTTATACACAGGCTGAAATGTACACTTCATGCACTTGTGGACATGCAAAGGGGAGAGAGATGGTGGAGTGATGGGGCTGCAATGTTACCAGTGCCCCATGAGCAGGTTTTGGGGTTAGGTTGCCTTGCTCAAGGGCACCTCAGCAGTGCACAGGAGGAGCTACCAGTCAACGCTCCATATTTTGTGGTCTGTGGGACTCAAGGCAGCGACCCTCCGGTTCCCAAGCCAGGTCCCTATACACTGAGCTACTGCCGCCCCACCTAATCTGGGCCACACTTAATTAATTATTTGTAGTATTTAATTAGTTTAGATTTGTTATATGTGCAATGTAATTAAATAGGTGACAACAATAAAAACATAAGTAATGGCAGCAATTAGTTTTGATATAATTAATGTGTGCCATATAATGAAAAGGGGTTAATAAGACTAAAATAACTTCTAAAAAGTAATATTAAGTAATGAGTATTATTTAATTATTCATAGGACCAAAATAAGATGGAGATGGATTCATATTATGTTGAAGCACAATAGTATAAACTTAAACGCATAAATCCAATTGTTTACAAACGTTACATTACATGACTACATTTCCGATAACCACCCGTTTTAATTAGTATGGAAGCCCAGGAGGTCCAAACGTAACAGCTTCGCTTATCCGCGGTACTGCTGTTGCTCTTAAAGGAGACGCATCCCTAACAGGCCTCGTCTCTGCCAAAGAAATATGAGGTTTGCTATAGCTTTAAGAAGTAATTAATGCTGAATGTTTGTAAAATTGTATTAACCACACAACGTAACTTTTTTTTATTAATAAGCTAGTTAATGAAATGCTTGCGTGGTGACGGTAAATTTACTCTTGGACCGAGCTAACAAAGCTTGGTCCCACCAGGGCCTTCTACGTTACGTTGGTTTTAAATTCGCTATGTTCATAACTAACTAGAAAACACGGGTCTATAAGGGTCATAACAGTTGAATAAGGGCGATATGGACTCGGAGGAAGACGAGGTTTCCAGTATTCGTCCTGGGATTGAGACAACCGGAGACTCAACGGAGGCCGCAAAACCATCCCCGGACTCGACTGAAGCGTCTAGCCGGAGAAGAGGAAGTAGAAGGGGCATGAAACCCGCAGTGACCTCCCCGGACTCCGGTAACTGTCGGTCTGGCACCGAAAGTCCTGTGCGTGTTTTGCGAGCTAGGGGAGCTGGAGCTGGCACAACTAGCGAGTCAATGGATGCTACTTGCAAGAAAAAACCTACAAGTCTGCACCGTGGACGTGGGAGACCCGCAGGATCACGCACCAAAAACACGCCCGTCATGCAGTAAGTGCGTGCACAAAGGCATGTCAGATATACTGCTACTGCAACGAGACAGCTACATCACTTGTAGAAGTAGAAGCACTTATGAGATTGCACTGCAAGGAGGCTTGGGACTGTAATTTTAGGAAGTGTGTTATATCACTGGGGTTTCTTAAAGCTATAGGTTTACCAGATATTGAAACCAAAACAGATTTTGTTGAGCGTGTCTTCCTGCCTGTGATCATTATCCTGTCCTTGTTCATTGTCACAGGGCAGTAGAGTTAAAGTATACTGTGTACGTTCCTAGCTATATTACAGATTTATTTTGATTTGCACCTGGCTGTTATTTACTGTAGACTCTCTCACACACAGACCTACAATAAAGAAGTCCACAGCCAAAAAAGGTAAAAAAGAAAGAAAAAAGACACTTTAATCTCTTTTATCTATAAGCAGTAATTTATTACATCTGTCACTAATACACTGGCCCTCTGACTTCCTCAGCATCCAAACATGGACCAAAGCTGTCCAAATCTAGAAAGGGCAAAGGGAGAACTCCAACCCGAGCCTCTCGTACCACACCAGCAACTGCATGCAAGCCTGAAGCAGAGATGGAGGCTTCATCATGTGGTGAGACAAAGTCCACTTGCATTATTTTTTTACTACATGTTGAATAATTGTACAGATTTCATGACAGTAAGACAAAATATTAAGCAAGAGTACTTCAAACTTCATATTCATCATTTCTGTTTTTCAGAAGAGGGAACAGGTGCTTTAAAAGGAAGCAATAACAAGTGAGTGTCATGCAACTTATTAAATGAGCAGCAGAGAAAGTGTTGGAAATGTGAATTTCATTGTGGCCAGTATGATGTTGATGTCCATATTAGCGTTGCAGATTCAGACGCGACTTACGACGAGGACCCTCCATTCAGAGATGACCCAAATGACCTCATCTATAAACCCGAGACAAAGACGTATGCTGAGCTCAGAGACTATTTTTTTTTTATCATGAATGTTTCTTTATATGCACACTTTCATTATGACGAATGTCAAGTTGTTAGTTTTAATAGTAAATTATGCTTTATCTCTTAACTCCTTAGGGAAAAATCCAGGCGCCGTAGAACATTGCAACAAAAGGAGGTGAAGAAGGAGGAGTCAGAGAAGGAGGAAGAAGGAAATTCTATTAAAAAGGAAGAATCAGCCAAGGTTGTGGTGCATCGAGAAGATGGAGCGGGTGATAACACAGAGCTACCAAGGAAGTAAGAAAAGTATTGATAGATAAGAAGCTAATGGACTGGTGGCTGTCCACACTGAGAATGGGTACAGTTCATATCTCACTGATACCTGAAGCATACCATTGTTTTAATGCAGGGCTGTTTTCAGTTTGATGGCCCGCTTACTGACAACAGGTGTATTTGATTTGTTACTGATACCTATAGTCACGCACGCATGAATCAAAGCAAACTAAAGTAATGAAAATCTAATTATGCAGACCAGAGAGAAGAAGATCCCTGACTGTAATTGACAGTTGGATGTTTGGGAAGAAGGATTAAATGTTTCAACTCTCAATTTCAAAGTCTGTTTTGCAATCTGTTTTAGGAGAGGTAGACAACAAAAGGATGACAAAGCCCCTCGTCTGCCAAAACGAAGGTAACAGTCCTAATTGTTTCATTTGCTGTAGATGACTAGAACTGTTTGAATTCTTAGAAAAAGTTCCTTTTTTTATGTTTTCACAGGAAAAAGCCCCCAGTGCAGTACGTCCGCTGTGAAATGGAGGGCTGTGGTACCGTCTTGGCCCACCCACGCTACTTACAGGTTGGCCATCCTGTCAACTGTAACCGTGACAACCCAAAATATCTTTTAAGGCACTGTATAGCAGCTGAACCATAGAAACCATAGTGATATACTGTATTTTTATGTTACATACTGTTTTAGATCTGTGGTGCAAAGCATGTGTTTACTGTAATATTTAGAAACAAGGGATGTTTAAATGATTAAAGTAGTTTCACCTGTAAAGGATTATGTGTGGCATTGTGCCTTAAATAGCTTACTCTTTTTCTCTGATCTCTTTGTTTCAGCACCATATAAAATACCAGCACTTGCTCAAAAAGAAGTACGTGTGTGATCACCCGTCGTGTGGGCGCTTGTTTCGTCTGCAGAAGCAGCTGTTGCGTCATGCTAAACACCATACAGGTGATGTTACGGAACAGATGTTTATAGTGATTAGACTGGCACCATACCTTATGTTAATGTGAATTTGACCATGAAAATAATTACACAATTTCTGAGCTGCTTGAGAACTTGTAGTACATAAGAATCACAAGATGGTAAATCAAAACGTTTTGTGTCTATTGTTCATGGTTTTTCTACACATCTGTCTTTCAGATCAAAGGGACTACATCTGTGAGTATTGTGCTCGAGCCTTTAAGAGCTCCCACAATCTGGCTGTGCATAGGATGATTCACACAGGAGAAAAGCCAATACAGTAAGCTTGCGCAACCTTTTTTCCGAAGTCATGCCACAACGAGCTTGAAAAATGCATGTGAATGTGGCTTCTGTCCGATGTTGTTACAAGGAAGAAAGCAGAAGAAATTATTTTAGTTTGGTCTTAGTGGCATGGGTTTATGGGTTTGTTTATCAGTCCGCAAGATTACAAGAAAACTACTCGGGGCGATGTAGCATGGGCCAAGGAAGACCTAATTAAAGTTTGGAGCTGATCTGAATAACAAGGCAGATGCATTATTTATCATTTATCAATTATTTTTCACTTTCCTATGACAAAAGGAAGTTAATTTATTGTGTATTTCTCGTAATTGAGGTGAATGGTGTGCCACAGCTAAACATACAACAAAACATAACAGCCACCTCAAACATCAGTGTAGAAACAAAGGCAGAAGAATCATGCCGATCCCTGAAAAAATATTTTATGGTGACATCAGTTTCACACACACACACACACACACACACACACACACACATACAGAGCAGACAACAGGTGGAGGTCACATTGAGGATATTGCACCAGGCGTTGATATTGGTTTGGATCAGGGCGGTAATTCTACTTATAAACATATGTAAGAAGTTGTCAGGACCCCGACTATGGGTCGGTAAATTTTCAAGCAAGGCCTTCTTGATTTTAAGGCATGCTAGAAAACTTAAAAAAATATACACAGTTGGCCCATATATCAACATGAAGAAATGTAAAGTAAATTGTTTAATAGGACAATGGCCACGTGTCAGGGACAAGAAGGCACTGAATTTGTCAAAACAGAAGCCTAGTAGAAGTCTGTATGATTGTTAAAAATTAAAAAAAAATACACAATATAGACAGAATTGTGTAAAAAGTTCCCTAAATAGGATTTTATCTGAATATGTCTTCCACCTCTGCTTCTGAGTAAATGGCAGTGAAATTGGAGGTAAAGTGTAGTAGCTGAGACTAGAGGTTCAAATCAGTTTGGACTATAACCTGTACTTTGTCTCCACCCTGTGGCAGGTGCGAGATCTGCGGCTTCACCTGCCGTCAGAAGGCCTCCTTAAACTGGCACATGAAGAAGCATGATGCAGAAGCCTCCTACCAGTTCTCTTGCTCCATTTGCAGCAAAAAGTTTGAGAAAAAGGACTCAGTTGTTGCCCACAAGGCCAAGAGCCACCCCGAGGTGCTCATAGCTGAAGCACTTGCAGCTAATGGGGGCTCAGTAATAAGCACTCCCATCCCGGTCCCAGAGACTCTCCCAGAGACTCTCCCAGAGACTCTCCCAGAGACTCTCCCAGAGACTGTCCCAGAGACTCTCCCAGAGACTCTCCCAGAGACTGTCCCAGTGCCGCCCCAGGCTGACCAACCCTCTGTAAGTCAGGGGAGCCAGGAAGCGGTGCGTGGTACACTCACTCCACTGCAGCAGGTGGTGCTGCCGCTTGCTTCACAGACGCAGAGCGATGTATCTCAGGGCCAGTTCCTCCAACTCCCCACGCATCATGTGGTGCAGGTGACCCATCAGCAGCAAGTCCCCACCTTGCTGCACCTCACCACTGCTACTCCTGCTCACCTTTCCAACACCAGCCACCCTCAGCTCATCCAGTTCTCCACACTTCCTGCCTGCACTGTCCCATCCATGTCCATTGCAGACCCCCAGACCACCCTTCTCACCCTGAGCTCTGTCACCTCTCTGGCCTCCACAGCCTCCCTGGCTTCCCAGCAAACCGTGCAGTGGTCCAGGGATGCTCACGAGGATGCACAGCTGCCTGGGGAAGGGGAGCTGTGGGAGAGGGTGGTGGTGGGTGGTGGCCATCAGGATGTAGGGGGAATGATGTGGGAGGGTATTGGGGAGAGGAGGAAAGAAGATGAGGGGATTGTTTGGGAGAGGGAAGGAGAGAGACAGATTCTGTTACAGTGTGCTGAGGTTCATGGAGATAGTTTAATCTAGATAGAACCACAAAATGAGCTGAACGGGATCTTTTATGGTCAGTAATCTGAAGGAGTAGAAGTGTTGGTTCTAGAAAGGAACAAAAGACTGAAGGACCTGTCAAAAGTTGATAAGCTGACAAAAATATATAAAATAGACTTTATGAGTGTAACACAGTAGTCATATATAGTACATAGCTACACAGAGCTACTTTACATCAGGGAGTATGATTTATAATATAGATTACGGACACCTCTTTTACCACTTAATGAATATTTTGTAACGTTCTGCTTTTGTCACCCTTGTGTTTGTATATATGTGTGTATGTTTTTAATTTTCTTTTTCTTTTTTTAGATTAAAAAGACTGAAAAATGATTGTGCATATTGTACAGGGAAGTCTAAAATTACATTTATGTCCCCATAGTAATCCTGTTGTGTTTATATGCAGTTTTTTAGTAACAGTATCATTGACATAATTGGGTTTCAGTTACGTGAAAGTTGCAGAAAAAATGTATCGTGAGCAACAACTACAACCAAATGAGGTTCTTGGGGTAAAAGAATCTTGAGACTTGGATTTTTTTTTTTGTCTGGCCTTTAGACAAATCTAAATGGTTCTGCTTTCATTTGGGGTTTTAACAAAAAAATATCAAAGACAAAATCTAAAATAAGATTTTTGAAATCCTCGAGAAAGGTTAGATTGTTTCTTTACAAAATGAAGCAATGGAGCTTTTATACAGCTGACATTTGGACTTGGCCTTGCAGGAAAAGCACAGGTGTTATTACTATTTCTAACATGGCTCCGTTCTATTCAGTGTCCCAGTAAGTCATGACAATGTGACAGTGAACGAGCATGAACGAAACCAGGACCATGATTTCCTACTGTGATAACATGTCAGATTGTCTTGTAAAAAAAAGCCTTCCTCGTTTGATAGTGGTGGCAGTAGTGTCACTTGGCTTCCAAATTGTACTCCATGCCGTTTTTATTTAATTACAGATTCTTGCTTTAATATTTTTTCACAGTTAAGACTATGCAGGCAGCAGTATTATGATTGAAGTGTTTTTTGTCAGAAATTTGTTTTAAAGCAATCTTGGATAATAAAATATACCTCTGTACACTGCCACTACTACTGAGCACTCCTAATCTTACTGAATTTATTAGAAAATGTATTCAGAGTAACTACAATAAACAAATTATGTTCTGAAGTCTTTATTATTCTTGACACATCTGTTAAATGAGATGATACAATTCTAGTTACATATCAGGGGCAGTACACGCTAAGTAATGTTCATATATAAATTTGCAAGATTTGGCCAAATTACTTACTGCATCTGCAAACAGGAAAGATTGATGTCAATTTTTTTTTAAAAAGGAAAAAAGCATCAAAGCAAATATAGGAGGGGATAGAATAGCTAAACCATTACTGACCATTACAAGCACATCACAATCATAACTTATAGTAGACAAAGGACTGAAAAAAACATGGCTTTACCAGAAAATACTGGTATTTATATAACACAGTATCAGAAATTAGCCTCAGGGGGTTTTACAATCTGTACAGCACATGACACCCTCTATCCTTACACCCTCGATTCAGATATGGAACAACTGGGGAGGGATCCCTCTTTCCAAGATGGACAGATAAGTAGATGTATGCACTGAATAGACCAGTATAGTAAAATTAACAGTCAGAATGGCAATATTATAGATAGATTATAAACACAGGTATACATTTAATACTAAGGACTCCTGACACATTAAACACAAGAAAACCAATATTACATATGACATGCAGACATAAAATACAGTATAATTCAACATTTGAGAGTTTAACAAATCTGATAAAATATTGGTTGATAGCCATATTTTGACATAAAACAAAATAATTATAAACTTTTTTTTTTTTTAACTGTTACTGTGATTCATACTGAGCAGGATATTGTACAGCTGAATCATAAACTCACCAGTGCTCTCTGTTGGGCAAACCATGTAATAGAGACACCTCAAACATACTGTATCTCTGACATGTCTGTACTTGTAACTGTTATCTGCCCACATATACACTGATGCCTATCGGCTCATATCGGCAGATGTATTGGCCCAGCTCCTTTATCTGTGTAGATATGCATGTATATATATACAATAACAAGATAAATACAAATACACCTAATCAAAAATCATTATAACATCAAAATGACTACATATATATATATATATATATATATATATATATATATATATATATATTCTTAAATTCTATATATTTATATAATTATATGAATTATATGGTACATTTTCAATTATATATTTTTGATTCCATCTTTAAAATCTATTGACAGCTTTCTTATGGATTAAAGTTAAACATGTTGATTTAAAAAAACAAACAAGCAATGCCTTGTAGAAATGAAATCAGTTGTGAATCTCGTGGTTATAATATCTTTACACATCAATACAAAAACCATTTCTGTCCTCTACAGGTTTTATGTGAAGATAATGCTTTGCAGGATTTGTACAATTTTGGTCAGAAAATACATACAAACACCGGTGACGTTTTGTTTTTTTTTTGAGGGGAGAAAAAAAAAGGCCCTCCTGTGCGTCCCCCTAAAAACGCCCCTGTGGCTTGCGGAACCAATTAAATCCCCTCTCGCAGCGTGCATGCCAACATGAAAGCTACCACAAACACGCTCCATTGACGCTCGCCGTGCGGATCTCCGCCTCGCGTTCAAACCGCTGAAGTATCCAATAAAAAAAAAAAAAATAGTCCGCGTGTAAAAGGGATTTAGGGGTTGGGGGTGGGTAGGTGGGCTTGTTTTCTCTGCTCGGTGTTCATCCCAGCTCGCTGCTAACCCACCTATATAAACAGGGCTAGAGTGCAAATGGCAGAGCAGGAGGAGCAGCAGCAGATAACCGCGCTGGACACGCCGGTGCCTGGCCCATCGCAGACGGGGAGAGCGGTGGCTCTTGCCCGGCTACTGCACCACGAATGTACTCATCTGCTCCAGCTATACGTGAGTTATCGGTTTACAGGCTCGTTATGCGGTGTGACACACTCCCCTTCCCGTTACTTGTGGCTTGCTTTAATGCGAGCATGTTTTGGTACTGAGGCAGCTAGCTACCTGTCGCGTTCAAATTATATATATGGGTCTTTCTACATATAATTAATTTACATTAATATTCACCAGTGTGCACTTGAAAGGAATGCTGTGGACTGTAATCATACTAAAAGACACCCCCCCCCTCCATTTCCCCTGGGGTGCCTAATGGATAAAGTGTATTGGATTTTTTTCCTGCTGTCATGCTTCTGTGCTTCATCTTGCTTTTAAAAGACATCTTAATTGATCAATATAATTGTAACTCAGTCTTAAAATTGTAACTGATCTAAAATAAAATTTAAAGGCACAAGTGCAAGGCCAGTAGCACCTTATATCCGTCTGCTTTGTACTCAGCATAAAGTGAAAAACAATCTCTTCTTCCTCGCCCTTTCAGAAAGAGAAGGAGACCTTTTTGTCTGACCACACCCCAGACGGCGGGCGCATCTTGTCCCTGTCCCTTGACTCCGAGGAGCCTAGCACGGAGGAGCAGGTGCTGTTGCTGCATTCGGCTCTGCGGCAGTGCCTGGGGCTGATCCACTGTGTCATCGCGAAGGAAGAGGAGGAATGGGGTGAGCTGGAGGGCGACTACGAGGCCATGAGGAAGAACGTCCGACTCCGGCTGGAGCACCTGCTCCACAGCACCAAAGATCTGGCGGAGACTGAGGACAAGACCCTGGAAGTCACCCCAGACCACCAGCATCATACTGAGGTACAGTATTTGTCATAGTGGGTTATACTTTTTGTATGGTCCATCCTCTCATGGAATCACAAGACACTGGTATTTATCTAACAAAATAATATATATATATAAAAGTAACATGAACATTGTCTGACATATATAAAACCATAATGTACTTTTATATACTCTAAACTGATATATTTCTTAAATGAGGTCTACACTGACTAGCAGAAGAAAGAAAGAAAGAAAGAAACATCTGCAAACCTAAAGTTTATCCTGATAACGCACATTTTTCTTTATCCCCTAGGCATTCCCCAAATAACTGGCTAATTTTAACTTTTCCTATGTGAACAGAAAATATCCACTTTTAGTCTTACTAAACAAAGTATTGCACAGTTCCCGGTAAAAAGGGGCAATAAATGACTAAATGCCCCTATAATGCCATCATATAGGTGGCCAAAGAACCCTGTATGTGTCTCCATGAAATTCAGATTTGTCTCCTACATTTGTCAGTTATATGCATTTATTATGATACCATGGCAAGAATTAGCTCATCTGCATAAAATCTAAGATATTCAGCATTAACGGGTCCCACAAAAAAACTACAAGCCCTCAATTATGTCTTAATAACATAATTAAACAGAAAAGCTTCAGCAAGGGTGTGACTAAACCCTGTATTTTATGAATAATAATAATATGACTCAGTTCTGGGAACAAAGATTCAAATCATGAATCTTTAGTTGGAGTTTAAAGCTGCACCAAGTAATATTTTTATACAAAAAAATTATGAAATGACTAACTTTAATGAGAAAGGTGTCTGCAGAGCTTTTTTAGCGTCTTTCAGCTCATTGTTTTGGTTTTCCGACCTGCTTACATGAACAGCGGCAAGAACGTCGGCTAACAAACGCATGCCCCTTACTTTAAGGACACCCCTTAGGTGGATCAACTCTCATGGCAACGACCATGATGCCAAACTAGAGACTTAAAAACGGTACTCAAAAACCAGTGGGTGACGTCACGATAGGTTCACACTTGCTTGTGAGTCTATTTAACAGCTTGTTTCCGCTGCCCCCAAGTGGTTAAAAAAATATCACAGGTTTAACTTTATTTACTTTTGTGAAACTTCAATTTAGGAACCATATGCAAGATTATTCATCTGGAAACGGCCAAATAGTCCCTGAACTTGTTGTTTTCCTGCGTAACTTTCACTTCCTCTTCTTGCTTTAAACATCCAAGGTTTCCCCCGATTGCAGAGTGCCAGTCCTCCATCTCTCAGTCCTTCAACGTAGTACAATAAAACTGGACAGTTACTGGCAAAAGTGTGACCACAACATAAACAATGTTTTACTTTAGCCTCCCCCTATCCACTAAACACCTTGTCTTATTCTTTTGTACTGTATTATTTATTGTGACTATAGTCTTCCATCAGTGGATGTGAACCCGCTCTCTTCTGTGTAGGAAACCGATGGTGCTGGGGGAGCTTTCGGGCTCAAAATGTGGACCTATCGAGTGCTACAGGAGCTAATCCACTGGGCTGACCACGCTGCTCAGACTCTCCATGTCTTACACAAAGAGAGGGAAGGAACAGAAGAGATCTGATGTTCTTTGTTTCAATCCAACAACATCTATGAATGAACTCACTCGACACTAACAGCCAGCTTTCTCTCTCTTATGTATTCCAAATTAGATATTAAGCGGTGTGGAATATATCCTGTGAACGTTAGAGGTTAAAAATGTACTGCTTAACTAAAAACACAGCTAAGCTCCTTTAATAAAGCCCAGTAGACAGCTTTTGCCAGACAGTGGTATTTCCACAGCAAGTGCTAAAATGACCTCTAGTTTGCCACAGTTGCTTTTTCCTTTAACAAAGAAGTGAGTGTAGACTTTAAGCTGCATAAAGGTTGGTTTGAAGTGGCAGAGTTAGACTGTTTGAGAATGTCTTTTGTTTTTGTATACAGTATATAATTTATTTTATTTAAGTTGATTTACCTTCATAACACTCCAAAATCTACTAACTGCTAGAATGTAGCCAAAAACACGACTGATAAACTGTGACTGATGTGCAGCTGAATCTGTAGACATTTGCTATTTTTAAATAGGTCACTTAGCTTTTAATGTACCACCTTATTAACATATGTAATCTAAATAATTCCATGTATAGACTGAATGCTTGTATTGTTCATGGTTTGGCACAATCAGTGATGATCAAGTGTCATGTTTGCTGCTCTGGTCACCAAGTTCTCTCCTGATGTTATACTTGAATGTGCTGCTACACTGTTCACAAGTTTGAACTAGAAGACGCGGTTCTTAAACATTTTTTGCCACGGCCTACCTTTGGAAGTAAAACTGTTTGAGAGCCGCTGTATTAGACTGATAGTTTTACAGTAGGATTGTATTGCCTGTAGCTAAAAGTATCAAACACTCTGCATCACAA